TCTCTGACTTTGACTCTTTTCTCTAAGGTTCACCTGCTAACTTTGCTGTCTACACGGCCATCGTGGAGCCTCACGGCAGGATCATGGGGCTGGACCTTCCTGATGGAGGTCACCTGACTCATGGCTTCATGACCGAGAAGAAGAAAATCTCAGCGACGTCCATCTTCTTTGAGTCTATGCCATATAAGGTACAAAAAGATCACATGCATTTTGATCACAACTGTTTCATGAAGGTAACCCTGAACTCGCTGAGTGAAGTGTGTTCAAATGAGACCTGATACTGTCGCTCAGGAGGTAGAGTAGGTCGTCCTAACTGAAGGGTTGGTGGTTTGATTGCATGTCAGTGTCCTTGGACAAGACACTGAAGTGCTAGTGTGCAAGAGTGGGAAATGGTAAAGCGCTTATAGTGCACTTCATATGCTATATAATGAATATTAATAGTAAATGCTATATAAAAAAATATTCACTAACTGTGACATTAATGAACATTTATCTTTGAAAAGACGGCTGCAGCAGTGAAAGAGGCTGAGAGTGTGGAAAAGTGTCCATTCAATCATTATTTAGCAGACTTGAGTTTCCTTAATGGATCCTGCTGTTTGCTCCATTGTTAAATCCATTTAATCAGCAGTCAGCTGATGGGGACAAAGTACTGCTGGCAGCAGATACATGGGTTTATTTGTACACCTGTCATTGTAACCTCTCAATCAGTAACAGTCTTATGATTTTAGTGATTAGCAGTTGGAAAACGTGACTGCATTCTGCTGTTACTGTTCACAAGAAGAAGTACTCACCAACAAGGTTATAGCCTACTTCCTGTATTCTTTGTGGATGCAGTTAAAAGTACCTCTTTGCCCATGTGGCAGTACTTTGGGTGGACCAAAAAAATAATGCTAACGAAAGTGTAGGATTTGTTCTTATGTAATATAACATAAAAGATGGAGCATCGTAACCATTCTGCATGTACACCACCGGGCAGAATATACTACATTTCCATCACTGATGTGAGATCAACTGATGGGTTTTATCAGTGAAGACGTCTCACTCTGTTGGAGTTGTTGGAACCACAGAAACATTCAGTCCCCTCTGTTCATTCAGTGATGTTGCAGAGTGATGCCTCTTTACCTTATAAACACTTAACACTTAACAGCGGCCAGCTACGTTTTCTGTGAGTTGCATTTGATCCTTGTATGTAACACGAGAGAGTCACAAACTGGGATTATCCTGTTGCGGCTTCTGTTTCATTTTGAGATAAAATCACCCTAGTCATTCTGTCATGTTTTACATTCATTCGGCTCAGGCGAATGTGGTTGCGCTGCACGGATTTTGACGATTTTTTAAATTTGTTTTCTTTCTAATTGTCCATTATTGACTCTGGCAGTTTTAGAGGAGCCAATCCCAGCTGACATTGCGTGAGAGGCGGGGTTGTAATGGGTTGCAGCCAGTCTTTTACACCAGTCACATTTTGACTGTTCTGCTGTATCTTTTCAATGTGATCTATTGGTTCTGCTGGTTTTAGGTGAATCCAGAAACTGGCTACATTGACTATGACAGACTGCAAGAAAACGCACGACTGTTCCACCCCAAACTCATCATTGCAGGTCTTTTAGTGTGTACACACACACACACACAGTGCTTGCTGACCTCTCACATGTTTATGCTGTCACTCTTCTTTAAATATAGGTTTTACTGTAAAAATGTTTTCATATAAATGCACTAATCAGTGATTTCCTGTAGAAATAAGGAGCTGTGTATCTAAAACTTGACAGAACATCATTCAGCTCCTCATAATTTTCTTTTCCAGGAGTAAGCTGCTATTCCCGCAACCTTGACTACGCCCGCATGAAGCAGATCGCTAATGAGAACGGTGCATATCTGCTGGCAGACATGGCTCACATCAGTGGGCTGGTGGCCGTGGGAGCGGTGCCCTCGCCCTTTGAGCACTGTGACATTGTCTCCACAACAACACACAAGACGCTGCGCGGCTGCCGTGCTGGGCTCATCTTCTACAGGAAAGGTTGGGGTCCAAAATGGTGCTTCTCCCAAAACAAACTACTGTTTTGTCATCAGTACCTTTTCTTTCTTTGTTGGTCATTTCCCTAGCTGCCCTTTTTTCTTTTCTTAACTTTGTTTCTCTCCTCCAGGTGTTCGAAGTGTGGACGCCAAGGGGAAGGAAACTCTTTACAACCTGGAGTCTCTCATCAATCAGGCTGTGTTTCCTGGGCTGCAGGGAGGACCACACAACCACGCCATTGCAGGTCCTCCTCTCGTAATCATTTTTCTCTTTTGGCCTGTGGAGCTAGTTCGTTTATATCGAAAGAGAAGACTAATAAGAGAATATATATTTCTCAATATGAAATTTATTATGCATTAACGTATCAAAATTAGCATGTATACATGGATCTCCACTGTTTAGGATAAAACAGAAAAGACTGACTTCAACTTAGTGGGTAACAATATTTGTATGAAAAGGTGCTACTATCTAATTGGTCCAAAACAGTTGGGGAGGAGCCATGGTTTAGACTTAACTCTCCCGTTATTGGTCCTTCAGTCCGTCCGTTCTCTCTGCTCCAATCATCGTGGACAGCGCCCTAGAAAGGAGGAATACCTGTACTACTTTAATTCCTACATACACACTCACGTCTTCCTTTGTTTTCACTTAATTAAAACTGTTCTGCCTGCGTGTGTGTGTGCATAACTGTCTAATCTATTTTAATAAACTTGGAGCCTTACCGTACCAAGACTCCTTTGGGTCCACCAATCCAGAGGAACGATACGTAACTATGAGCTCCCTTAGCTACAGCCATAAATCTAATGAAATTCAGTAATTTAGTGGACAAGACTTATGATGTTGCATTAGTGTTTCAGTGACTCACACAGCAAATATTTGACCAGTAGTTAAGTGAACACATAGAGTGATATTCATAACTATATAAACATAACTGTGACATATAAGTATGTAAACTTATGTGTGCTATAAAATAAAACCATTCTTAAGTGCATAAAATAAAAATCACCACAACAGGCCTCAAGTTTCATCTCGACAGCTCTTTCATGTCTGCATCAGTCTCATTTGATGTTTTTGTCTGGCAGGTGTTGCTGTCACTCTCAAACAGGCCATGACAGCGGAGTTCAAGGCCTACCAGATGCAGGTTCTTGCCAACTGCAAAGTTCTGTCCAGTGCTCTCATCGACCACGGCTACAAGATTGTCACTGGTGAGGGAAACTGTGCACTCCACAAACACAGATTTCAGATCCTTTAATTACATCCATGTTTTTCTCAAATGTGTCTTAGTCCCACCCATGTAAGATGTATCCTCACTCATGACTCCTCCATGCAACCTCAGAGCAGGAATAAGAGCTTTGTGGTGTTTCTCAAGATGGTGGACAAAAATTACTTCTGGGTTGAGTGAGGGGGAGGGGGAGGAGCAAGGAATAATCAAACAAAGGAATTGGGATTTATCCAGGGATTCTTGACGTCCTTGAAGGAGAACAGCCGACCTCACTATTGTCTGTCTCTATATATTTTTGTTTTAGCTGTCGAATGTACACAGCAGGTACTGCATGGCTGTGTACCCTACGCCGTAGCATCTTTTCAGAATGTAAAGCAGATCGCAACTGCTGTGACTGGTTATATTGCATTTCACCCTCCTCCTGTCTCCAATGTCATCTCTTTTAAGCATTACAGTAATTTCAGTAACTTTAACTTCCACATTACCTGCTCAGTTTGTCACCATTGTTTGTACTAGGTTCAGGTGACTTTATTGCTACCCTAAGGCTTCTTGAGCCTCACATACCTTCACGTCAGTGCACTCCTGCAGATCTCTTCATGATGTTTCATACAGTATGACAGCAGTTTTAAAATTTTATAATCGCGTAATTAAAAAAAAGTGATGACATCCTGTCGTCCTTCATGATGATTTTTTTTTTCCTCTTTTTAATAGTTCCAGCTGTCTGGTTTCTAATGTCTTCTCCTGCTCTCGCTCTCTTCCTGTGTAGGCGGCTCTGACAACCATCTGATCCTGCTGGACCTGCGCAGCAAAGGGACTGATGGAGGACGAGCTGAGAAGGTTCTAGAAGCCTGTGCCGTTGCTTGTAATAAGAACACCTGTCCAGGTAGCATGTGTGTTTTTAATACTGACGCAGCTTTGTAGACTGCAGACCATAGTGTGTGTGTGGAACTTGTGGAAAATGAGCCCGTCCTTTGTCTGAGTTAAGTCTCAGATGTACCCAGCGTTAAGTGTTTTAAATCTGAGATCCATTTTTAAATGTTCACATACGTCTGTTTGTGTAGGGGATAAGAGTGCTTTACGTCCCAGTGGTCTGAGGTTTGGCTCTCCAGCTCTGACCTCCAGAGGCTTGATGGAGGATGACTTCAGGAAGGTGGCCGAGTTTATTCACAGAGGTAATTTCACCAAGGTCCCTTTTTTAAATGCTGGCATTTTTTCAGATATACTTTGAGGCTCTTTTCATACATCCACCTCTGGCCAGGAATTTTCCTGTTTTTTCACGTCTATGCATAATGTCTGAACAAAGCCCTCCATTATGTAGCTGGCAAAGTCTTACCTGCAGGTTTACCAGGTCAATCCTGATCAAAACACCGGCTATGTTCTAATCGGTTACATGTCTGAACTGAAATGGTGCTGGTGGGACAGCAGAGCCTGGTGAGCTGTTTCCAGTCTTTGGGCTGAGCTGAGTTAACCAGCTGCTGTACCTTTTTATATTGAATACAACACAGTAGAAATGAGTGGTATTTTATTTGAATGTTAGCTAATGTGGCTTGTGTAACACTGTACTCACTGCTGTTGGAGCGATTTAGGATACACTTGGCTGGAACAGCTTTTAAACCCAAGTCCAGTTAGGCTAATGCAAAATTAAGGCCTCAACAGTACAGCTGTAACCTGCTAAATAAAAGTAGTTTATTTATGTTAAAAACATAAGGGAAGATGTTGAATCCAACTGAAATGGAGCACTTTGGTTAAAAAAACAAACATTCAATTGCAAAGTTTAAATTTCTGCAGTGTAAAATGATGGACATAAATGTGTACATGCACCCTGATTTCTCAGAAATGGAACTGAAATCTGAGAGCCCTCCATGCTTTTTTTTTTTTTGCCTGCAGGAATTGAGCTGACCTTGGAGGTGCAGAAAAGCCTGGATCCCAAAGCCACTCTGAAGGAGTTCCTTCAGGCACTGTCTCAGGGAGAGAAGTTCCAGCAGCGAGTAGCAGAGATCAGGGCTGAGGTGGAGGCGTTCGCTGGCCGCTTCCCCATGCCCGGCCTGCCTGAGCTGTAGACGGCAGCAGTTCAGACACTTGTGGTTTTGGTGGTGTGTGTATATTGAATGTTGACATATTAAAACTGTCAGTGCTCAAATCAAGCATTCATTATGTCTTGATGGATTTGTTGATGATTACCAGTGTCCTTCAGTTATTCAATACTGTTAAACTGCCTCTACTGTTTTAGATGTTTTTCTACTGTAGCTGTGACCTCTGTTACAAACATGTAAGCAGGAGTCTCCTTTATTACATCTACAAATCCAAAGTTTTCTGATAGTGCTGGACATGGAAGCACAAAGTATGAGCACTGATTTCATACATGGCCAAAAATATGATCACTGTTATATTTAATTAAAGTGATTGTAATTGATGAAAAACAAGTTTCTGCTCAATCCTTCAGTTTGAACCCAAACTGCTGCAGATCAATAAAATAAAATTACCCTCTGAATTTAATTTTTCACCTCATGTTATTAATAGCTAGAGAAAAAGTGAAAGAAACACAATTCTTATTCTTAACTATAATTCATTGCCGTCCTTTTAGTAGTTGGATTTGGCTGAAAAGCAGAGATGCCAGCCTCAGGTGTTGCGTGTCCAAAATTGTAAGGAAAAGTCCTCACAAGTGCCTAAAATGGGGGTTTCCAAAAATAAAGAAGTTTTTGAAAAAAATATTTTAACATTCATGAATGTAGAATTTATTGCAGGACTGTTGTCTTGCACCTGATGAAAAGGCAACTGAGTGCATGTGGCGTGAGTTTATCAAACCACTTTTTTGTTTAGTCCAGCCTTATTGTGGCAGGTCAAAGGTCAATCGGAGAAATTGTTAACATTTAAATTGAAAGATTGCGCACAGGCAATAGTCATTAGAAGCCGGACTCCGGTCCAGCAGGTGGCAGTAATGCATCTAGAAGCTGTTTACCAACCGCTATTAACCGACAAAGGAACTTCCTTGTTCTGTCAGGTCAGAGGTCAGATCGCGCGCCTCACATTAAAATGGTGAGAGGAAGTTTTGAAACAAGCGGTTTCATGACAGACTAAAGCTGATACACCAACTTTGAAACTGCTGTGAACGCTACAAAGAACAACAGTTTTGTGATTTTTTTCCACCCCAGTAGGCAGTTTATCGTTGTTAGCTTATCCGTTAGCCACTTTAGCTGGCTGATGAAGAAGCTACCTGCTAGCTAACTAGCTCAACTTCAAGCTCGCTAACCGACACTGGCATTTCTTTGACCGGAGCACAGCAAGCTAACGCAGACATGCAGGAGTTACTGGCTAATGTGGACCACATTAAGTTTGACCTGGAGATTGCTGTGGAGCAGCAGCTGGGAGCGCAGCCTCTGCCTTTCCCCGGCATGGACAGTAAGTGTTTGGTGCTAGCCTCGTTCGGCACCGGGGCTAACGTTACACTCCTCTGGGTGTGCGGCGATTAATCAGGTGTACGTTCGCAAAAATAACCAGTTTGTCCTCAGTCTTAAAGGGTTTTCTCTTGGTTTGGATTGCCTTATCTCATTTATGATAAACATAGGGGCACCTGGTTAGCTGTGCACCTTTGGCAGGTACACCAGGATACAACTAAAAGTCCTCCAATAAAAACTCCACGAGGGTGGCGATAAGTTTTGTTGGTTCGACTTTATGGTAATTTTGGAAGATGTCATTTGTGCTTGTGTTGAATTGTATTGCATTGCTTTATATTAAGAAGTGTTTCTCATTTATATTAATGAGGCCAGACCAAAATAAGAGAAACGCCTCTCAGTATATTTCAAACGCAGCCCAAACTCTTCCACAGTCTGACTGAACACGATCGACTTCACGAAGGTTTTATTGCAAAGCTGACTGACTTTTAGCATGGTGTCCCTAATAAACTGACACCTTGGTGTAGGCGTAAGTGGAACAGCTGTGCTCTGTGCACGGTGAGTCTCTTGTCTTAACGTTTTGCTCATGTGTGTTCCTGCAGAATCCGGGTCTGCTGTTTGTGAGTTCTTCATGAGAGCAGCTTGTGTGAAAGGTAAACACCAGCACATGACATTTCAACACCGCTGTCAGAAACCTCTGCACATTTCTTCACAGAAGATGAGCAACTAAATAAATTGGACCAACATTGTTAAATGAAAGGTCTTTTTTTAAATATACGGATAATCAGATATTTAGTATTTCATTTTATTAAGGTGAGTGACTCAACAAGATCAAAACTGAAGCAGCACCTGACTTTGTTTCGATGTAAAAACAAAACCAGGACCCTGCTATACAGCCCTACCTTTCTCATAATGCACCCTTTAGACTCTCCCTGCCTTTTAAAAGCAGCCATTAACTGTTGGCTGTTATTGTTAACTACAGATCTACACAGTGAGCAAATCCCTACAGGTGATAAATCAGCATTCTACTTGATTGACTTCTATTGGAATGATATTGACTCGACACCTTCGCGTTTTACAGCTGAGTGAATAAAGCATGAAAAGCACTGAATCTCAGGCAGTAGGACAGTAATCATATTTTGATATTTTCATTGTGTCAGAAAATAAATAAGTGATGGGTCACTGGTTTAAAAAGTTCATGCACTTATTGGCCCAATGTTCTGCAAAACAAACATTTCTCTGACTTAAAAACAGATCAAATGTATAACGTTGAATTTGTAAATTTCGACACCACATATGTAGCAGATACCTTCATGTTTCCCTGTAAATGTTGTACACTGGATGTATACAAGTGTCACCTATAAGACAGAGTGAACAGAAATAAGCTGTTTGTATTAAAAATTACATTAAATAATGGCTCAGCATGTGATGCTCCAATGTCTCTGGATTTGGATCTAAGCCCTTCTATAAAACAAATTATTGCTGATGGGACCACATTACTTTGAGTGACAGGATTTATTTCTCTATTCTTTTTCTTTTACACCATAATTGTTTTGATGTGTTAGTGATTCCACTGTGTTGACACTACTGATTGTCTGTAAACAAACTGGTGTTACTGGTTCTAGAGCCCAACTTATCCTGGTTTTTGAAAAAGATGCCAACATATGATGGTTTCAGAAACTCCTGTGCTGCTGCTGTCAAGCTTTTCACATCTAAATATAGTAGAATAGAAAATACCTAATTCTCTTATCACCTAGCAGTTGATTAAAGTGATGCACTTTTTATTAAAAATGGACTAGCAATTGGCAAGAGTGCCCCCGGTGTCTGGTTTAGGACAGCTGCCATTGTCTGTGGTGTTTGTTTTTGTGCTCTCAGGTGGGATGTGTCCGTTCCGTCACATCAGCGGAGAGAAGACGGTGGTGTGTAAGCACTGGCTCAGAGGACTGTGTAAGAAGGGAGACCAGTGCGAGTTCCTCCACGAGTACGACATGACCAAGATGCCTGAATGCTACTTCTACTCCAAGTTTGGTTCGTTGAACTTCACCCTCCTTTCTGCCATCTGTGTCACTTTATGTTCTGCTAAGCTGGTGAATGACTTGGGCCTGGTTTTCCTTTGTGGTCACTCTTGCAGGTGAGTGCAGCAACAAGGAGTGTCCCTTCCTGCACATCGATCCAGAGTCGAAGATCAAAGACTGTCCCTGGTACGACCGAGGCTTCTGTAAACACGGTGGGTCCCTAAACGCACCGCTACTGGAACACACTGTTACGCAGACTGAATTTCATCTTTGTTTTGTTTATGGAGTTTACAAGCAAGATTAAAATGACCAGGTCCAGCATTAGTAGTTGGGATCTGCATGTACAATCATCTATGCACATTAACATGCATTCCACAGAGTGATCATAAATAAGTGTCCATCAGTGCATTTCTGATGATGTCTGAAATATTGTGAACACTTCCATCATCTGAGTTTCAGTTTAAATATGGATTATGTAGACTGAATATAGATTTTGTACCGCGACACCACCATTAACCTTTTTCTCCTCTGTTTTCTGTCTGCATGATTGTTGTGTGTCCGTCCTCCTGTCTCAGGCCCGGACTGCAGACACAGACACATGAGGAGAGTGATCTGCATGAATTACCTGGTGGGCTTCTGTCCAGAGGGAAAATCCTGTAAATTTATGCAGTAAGTTGATATTTTTAAATGATTCCTAGATAGAAAAAATACATCTGATCTGCCTGAATAACAGACAAAATGTTGCTTTGGGATATCACAGCACATACGTCTTGTTTCAGCTGTAGCTCTGTAACGTTGGGTGGCTATCAATTATTTATTAACAGTAACATTATATACGGGATGAATCGTCATAAAATATTCCTAATATAAAAGATGGACAGAAACAAAATAATCACTTATAGCTCTGCAGATTTAACTGTGACATGTTCTTTTACAGCCCCCGTTTTGAGCTGCCCATGGGAACCTCTGAACAGCCTCCTCTACCACAGCAGACCCTGAACCAGATGAAGGTACGAGGGCACATCACACACACCCAGTACCCACAGAATACTCTGTTACAAGTTACAAAAGTATTTCTTATCCAGAATGGCACATTTCACATTAAATTATATCATTGGGTTATAATTTAAAGTTTATTATTGAATACTTTAATGTTTCAGTGTCGGTGAAGGGCATGTAAAGTATTCAGTCCTCCATTTGTCTTTCAAAGCTCATTATCAAGTAATTAATACACACAAATGAATTCCTTGCCTGAATTGGAACTGATGTTACACCCATAGATGTACAGCGTAATTCTAGTATGTGCACGCTGTCCGTGTGCAACACTGGTATCGCAGTTGTTCCACCTTTTTTGTTCAGTCAATATTGTGACAAAAATGGGTTCTGAGCATTTACGAATCGCCCGAGAATCGTAGAAGATATGAAGCACGATTTAAACTTGAACGATTCTTTTCCTACTCTAAAGTACAAATGCCCACAGACAGCCGTCATGTTGGGAAGTGAAGACCTTGGAGGTTTTTGTCCCTGCTAATGTAAACGTTCCGTGTCATTGCTGATTAGTGTCTCTGTGCTCGGTTCCTCCTGCAGCCTGTGCCAACCATCGGCCGCTCCTCGCTCTCGCTGATTCAGCTGACCAACTGCAGTCTGGGCCAGCGGCCTCAGGACAACATAGTCATAGGCGCTTCTCAACAAAATAACCTGGCTGCCAACAGAGGGCCCCGTCCGCTGGACCAGGTCACCTGCTACAAGGTAAGTCACCCAGTGTTTGTCTGCTAATAAGCCCACGTGTGCACAAGAATCTGCTGCTGACACCCCTGTAGTCACATGTCAAGGCTGCCTAATCTAATAGCTCCAATACTTTGGGGAAAAGGTTTACTCTCCTTCTTTTTTTTCCAGACTGAAATATTACTGGAGCTGGTAGCAGTGGCGTCCTAGTCGGCACTAGTTACTTGGACTTAACAGCCTGACACACGACTCCACATCAAATGGGGAATCGTACTTTTTATGTTTCAGTTTTCCTGGTTTCTTGTCTTTGTACTAAGCTAACAGCTGCTGTCTGTACTGTGAACTCACAAGTGGTGCCAACCTTTTTTTTTTTATTTCCGTCCGTCCGTTCAATCCAGCTGGAAACAGGTTACTCTTTTGACTTAAAATTAAATGGGCCATTTTATGTTAAGTGTGAGAATTGTAGGAACATTAGATAAAAGTATCTTTAATACAAAGACTTGAGAATAATTTAAGAACACCAGGGTTTTTTTAAACCGGTGTATAAGCAATAAATTTGTTCCGATGGTTTTGCTTCATATTCTGAAATCCTGAAGACTGGGATTTACTCTAACCTCCGATCTTTCCTGTGCCATTAACATCATTCTTTTGTCTTCTGTGTCTGCAGTGTGGTGAGAAGGGCCACTACGCCAACAAATGTACTAAAGGTCATCTTGCCTTCCTGAGCGGACAGTAACCTCCAGACACTCCGGTTAAGACTTTGCCTTTTTCAGCCTGTAGATACATGAAGGTGACCAGGAAGGACACCGTTTGGCTCAGCTCACATTGTGTCTCACAGGATAAGTGCTGAGTTGACCACCAGTGGACACAGTGCTCATGTTCTCACATCTGGACTCTGTACAAACAAAGGTTCTTGCTGTAGATGTCAGGTGTGTATAGGCAGAAACAGTCCCAGTCATTAAACACACTGCCTGCACACTGATGAGGCTCTAAAGAAGCAAAACAAGGAAGTTTATTCCATGTGGAAAAAGTGTTGCCTCTGTAAAGCCTGTTTTGTGAGTATGAGGTTTTCTATGAATGGGACTCGTGTTACAGCGGTGTCACAGTGTGACGGCCACCGTTGAAGCGAAGTAGTGAACAACCTGATTAATACGTTTGACTGAAAAACTCACCCACAGAATAAATATTCATATTGTTTATTGGTCACAACAGTCACATCAATCCAACAGAGCTGAGAGTAGAAAGGGCCAAGGTCCAGGACTAACACCTGCAGTTCTGACGGCTCCAGAGGCTCAGTGGTACTTCCTCCAGCGATCGTGTTCTGGAAGAGAAAACCGAGAAAAGGAAGCAACTGCAGTTAACGGCCACTTCATTAGGTACACCTGTACAATTGTATGAAATTCAATGCAGTACTTCTGCCTTAACATCTGTAGTTTATGAAGTGAAATGTTTGTCTTTGGTGAAATTGTCAAATGTATAAATTCAATTATATGTTTAGGCTTGAGGCCGTCACAGTTAAAGGTGGTGTTGTACAGGACTACATTATATTCAGAGGTGTCTTTGTCCTGTTCAGCTACATCCATGAGGGTTAGAATATTAGGAACACCTCTGAATATAATGTAGTCCTGTACAACACCACCTTTAACTGTGACCTCAATAAAACATCATTTATACATTTGACAATTTCACTGAAAAGAATCCAAACATTTTGAGCTTCATAAACACAGATGTTAAGGCAGAAGTGTTGCATTGAATTGCATATAATTGTACAGGTGTACCTAATAAAGTGGCTGGTGAGTGTAACTTTAAACCTCAAACTGTCACATAATGGATGTACTGAAGCTAATGTGACAGTTCACAGAGCAACTTGGCTGAATCCAAATGTCCAGATTTCCGCTGTCCACTTGGTAAATCACAGTGTGGCTGTGACGGTGCGGCAGACCTGCACCCGTCACACTGAGTTATCATTAACCTTTGCTCCTCCAATAAACCCTTCATGAACGTGATAAAGTTGTTTTAACCTCTAGAGTCCCTGCGTCCTCATATGAGGACCGCACAGCTTGGGTTTCCAAAGCTCAGGACTCTAGAGGTTAAAGTGGGTATGGGGACGCTACAGCTAATGCTAATGTTGCTGCTTCTGTTGGAGAGATTTGGGCAAATGAAGTGTTGCATTAAACTGTCATCAGGGCAACCAGTTAAGTGTCAGAGAAATCAGAATAAATATGTCGTCAGCCGAATCATTTTTCACGCTGATCTGAGTCAGACAAAGTAAATGCATCATAGAGCTGTTGGGGACAGGATTACTGCTAACTGCATGGGAACATCCATTCAAGTCAACCTGTCGGCTGACTGTAGCTAGCTGCCATAGCTACCCCAGCCAGCAGCCCATATCTTATATCTGCTTTCCTTCTGACTTAAGAGATAAACATGAGGAATGATTTGACTGACATCATAGTTACTCTGAGCTCGCCGATTGCCCCAGTGACACCATTTAATGGAACACTTCCCCGAATCTCTACAGCAGAGGCAGCAACATTAGCACTAGCTACAGAGTCACCATAACCCACTTTTAGGAGAAACAGCAGGTAAAAATATGTGTTCTATTAAACATTTGGACTCAGCCCTTCATCTTCAACAGGAAATAAGGGAGCATTTCTTACTGATGTGGTCGTATTCCCACCGGTAGCTGATGGCCATGTAACCAACCACCATCATAGCTATGCCACCGATGCCGCCCTTCTTCACGTTAATGTACTTGTTGTAGTATCTGAAGTAGCCTGGAAGAGACGGAGGGGAAAAAAAAAACAAACCACAGATGAAGTGCAACATGCATCACTTTGATAACATCTAGGTGAACATGCAGGGAGAAAGATGAACGGGGAGTTAGTTCACTTCTCACCTTTCAACAGCTACTACTGGGTCATACTACATAGCTTCTCTAGGCACCGAAGTGCTGTTCACAAAGATGACTGTAACTTTCTCATGATGTAATTCTGCACAATCACCATCCTAGTTGGCAGTTTGAGTACATCTGGCTAAAGCAGCCCAATGGACAAAACAACACACCTGTCAGTATAATGCAGTACATTTCTGAAAGTTTGAATAAACCTGAACATACAGAGGTGGATGTGTTTGTTGGCAGACTGAAGCAAAGCTTCATTTCTCATGAAAAGCGATTAAAACAGTTGTTGCCTCTAACCTGCATGCCTTTGGTATTTCACGGAGCAATACAAAGCAAGTGTGAAAAGGATAAATTAGCAGCTGAATATTCCTGTGACTACAGCAGTAAACATAAAAACAGTCAAGGTCTTTGGAACTCTAGACAGGCTCAGTAGAGGACTCTACTGTTGAAAGAGAAGCATAAAAAAGCCAAACTGGAAATTGCTAAAATGCACAGTGACAAGCCACAATTCTATGAGACAAAAATTGAGCTTTTTGGTAAGTTACAGCAGCTCTATGCTCACACGTGAAAAATGAAGCTGTCAAAGAAAAAAAGGCACCAAGTCTACCGTGAAACATGGAGGAGGCTTTGCTGCATCTGGCACAGGAGGCCCCGAATCTGTGCACAGTGAAATCTCCAGACTACCAAAGAAATTCTGGAGTGAAACATACTGCCCAGTGTCTGAGAGCTCTGTCTGAGCCACAGGTCCTCCAACAGGACAATGACCCAAAATAGAGCTAAAAGCACCAAGCATGGCTAAACACAAACCACTGAAGTGGCCTCATGAACCCTGATCTGAACCCTATCAAACATCTAAAGGCAGCCTTCAAACCTCAGACAGCCGCAGCAGTCTACTCGACAACGGTGGGCCAAACTACCTGCCGACAGGTGCACAAGTCTCACTCAGCTACACAAAATATCCGCCATGACTGCCTCAAAGCTGTGCAACAAAATATTTGGTTAAGAGTCCCATCATTTTTGTCCACACCGGTTTTGTTTTATTATAAAAGTATTCTGTTGAATCACACATCAAAAATTAAGTCCGTTTATTAACCATGGAACAAACAATGATGGATGGTAACTTTTTTCAGTTTCAAATTTGAGAGAATTTTAATTTCCTTCTCATGCTGGTTGACCAATACATGTGTCCATGTCTGCAAGTCTGGTTAGTGTAGCTAATAAACTGCCAACTGAGTGTCTAGAGAGTCTAAAGTGTCTAAAGAGCAAAGACCAAGACGGAGCAGGTCTCCTTACCCCTGCGGAACGCTGCGAAGATGCCGTTGGGAGTGAAGTCTCGGGCTCCGATCCAGGTTCCCAGCTCTCCCAGTTTCACGTCCATCAGTCGCTTCTCAACTATGGGAACTGGTCACAAGTGGAGACAGCAACAACGGTTAAATCACACATCGTCCATACTGAGCAAAGTATACTGCAGCTCTACTAGTGTGCTTTGGTTTAGGAAATGGAATGAACAGCTCTGATCCCCACTTTAACTACCAGTTCTTTTGTCAATAATTATCAGCCTCCATTTGTCCCTTACAAGTTAGAAAAGTAACAGCTCACCAGTGTGTGTGTCACTTTTCACATTTAAAGCCACATATGTATTGCTGTCTAACTACACCAGTGGTAGATGGGACATGACAATATTTTATTGTATGTTTGCAGCTAAAAAAGGTCATTGTACAAGAGCTCAGTCAATCGACAGAATATGAATCTGCAATAATTTCAGTTTATTGTAATGTTCTTTCTCCATCTTATGTTAATAATTTTATCTGCTCAGACAAGTGTGAAGAGGTCACATCGACTCTGAAGGACTTGAACATTTTTCACTTTGACGTTTTCCAGATGAAAGTAATAAAATTTAGTAACAGATTTATAAAAAAAGCATCTACATGAATCATTAGTACATAACAAGAACTGTTCAACCTTCGAATCCCCCTTTTTCCTAAATTAGTTAATTGATGCATCTTCTTTCGCATTAAACATTTTTATTATTATTGTTCTGTGCAACCAAACGACATTCAGTTTACATTACACACTTGAGAAGTTGACGTTTCGGTTGAGGAATGGCTGAAAAATGAATCGATTATCAAATCACTGGCTGATTATATCGCTGTCAATTGACAAATTGACACATATCGATTCGTTCGCTAATAAATTGATAGTTTAAGTTCTAACCTTAACGTGGAGCTAACTTAGAGCTTCCATTCACGAAGCCTGCGTCACCATAAAACACCTCGTACAATGAATGACACATTGCTGGTCCACTGTCTGAAAACCACTGTGCAGCCAAAAATTGTCTCTCGTGGTTTATTTTACACAGTTAATTTTATTTAGTTTTAATGTTAACCGAAGAAAAAATGGGTTTGGGGTCGTTAGTGTGTTTACGGGCTACTGTGCAAGCTAGCCAAAAGAAACGTTAGCATACACAATTACATATTCCGCTACACCATTACAATGCCAGTTTCCTTCAAAGTGCAACAAAACTGAAAGTGTCTGGTCAATGAAAAAGACAGTTAAATGTCCAAAAGCGACTCGTGTTTAACTTTAAATCCACCAATGACACCAAGTCCTTGACGTGACTCGGAGGATTAAGCGCGGCCATCAGTCAAACTAAACTTTCAGTTGACTTATTAACTGTATATTTGACAGAAAAACACACAAAGTCTCTGGAAATATCAACAAATACCAACAACGAGGTACAGAATAAAAAATAATTTGCGATTGTTTTAAAGGAGGGCACACTGTATTACCTGGCCGGTCCGCCATCTTGACTGCTGCAAAGCATTCGCAGCAAAGGACGATGGGAATAAAACGAGGAAGTGCATTATGGGAGAAGATGTAGGTTGTTTATCCATCCGCCAGAGGGCAGCAGAAGAAACGAAACCAGACCTGTCATACTAAGACCAAGAGGTTTTACGGTATCAACACCACAATTCCAAAAAAAAAAGGCGATTTAAAAAAAAATGTTTTTCTACAAAAATGTAATTTAGTTGTGATTCAGTCTGAATGGGACACAAAGTTTACTGTGTGCATAAGTTTTGATAGTCAGTCAGAACTTGAATGCTAAACTCGAATCAGTGATGCTGACTCAAAGACCTCAAACTCAGCCCCGCCCACACCTGACTCTGGGTTTGAGGTCTTTGAGTCGGCATCACTGATTCGAGTTCAGCATCATGGGCGGGGCTGTGTGCTGCGCTGTAATAGGGCAAGGCTGTGGAGCTAAATATTCAATTTTACACTTGGCGAGACATTTAACATTTATATTTACATTTAACATTTATATTTAACATTTACATTTATATTTAACATTTACATTTAGACTTTGTCACATTTAGCTAAGTGTGAGAAAACTAGTGTAAGTGCTATTTTTACAAACGGCACCCCATAGTATCCCAACAAAATTCTGCATATACAGTAAACAGATCTGTTCAATCAGTGGGTTCATGTTAAAAAAAAGTAATGATTTATCAATTTATTTTAAAAGTAGTAAATCTATGAATCAATTTTACAATTGCAGGGGTAGTTCAGATTGTATATTTAGACTACAGGAACTGCTGGGGAAAGAGGAGAGGTGAAATAAAAATAAAATATTTCTGCCTTTCAAAATGCAGACATGATGCAAGTCTTTATGTGGTTTATTCAGGGAACAATAAACAGGGACTAAACAAGAGACTCGACCTGGTGGGACTAAAAAATATCAAACTAACAAATAACTGAAGATCAACCAGGGAGCATTCTAGCTTAACTAAGGCGTGTTCTGTGTTTGTTCGTGATAAAGTTCATGTCAGAAAAAGCTGATTCACAGAGATAGGTTGAACCGAAAAGGCAGGCAACTTTCATAGCTGCTGTGCATACACCACTGTACTTTTCTGTGTCCACAAGGCACCAAAGGTTTGGTGCAGACTGATGGGCTTTAAGGTGCAGGTCATTTTGCATTGATTTTTATCTCTACCTGTCCAGCATCCAAGTTGAACAGAGCATTTAGTTGCTCAGCAGTGCACGTCATGTCCACTTGCATGAAAGGATTTGTAAGGAATGACACACATGGCTCAAGCTGATCAAAGTCACAAAACCTGTCCTCAAATTCCTGTCCTAGTCTGTTTATGACTTCAGAGTACTTTTCTACAGCTTTGTCAAAAGCAGAAGCATTGTTATTCAACACTGCCTGCACAGAGGGAAAGTGCAGCAGTGTTTTTCTCTGTAAATGCAGAGAAAATGTTCGTCTTGGCTTTAAATGCCTTTACTGCACTTATCATGTGAGCCAGTTTATACCTTTGCCTTGCAGCTCACAGCTCAAATGGTTCAGTTTCCCAGTGATATCCCTTAAAAACGCGAGGTCAAGTATCCACTCCGTGTCCCGAAGCAGCGAGGCGTCTTCCCCCTTGGACTGCATGAACTCTTTGATTTCACACAGCAGTGACAAAAAACACTGCAGAATTCGTCCCCTGCTGAGCCATCGGATTTCTGTGTGTAGTAACAGGTCACCATATTCAGCTGACAGCTCCTCCAATAGCACCTTGAATATCCTGTGTTGTTTTGGAGCGGATGCCATTTATAACTGCATGAACTCTTTGATTTCACCCAGCAGTAACAAATTGCTGAGCCATTGGATTTCTGTGTGTAGTAACAGATCACCATATTCAGCTGACAGCTCCTCCAATAGCACCTTGAATATCCTGTGTTGTTTGGCTTTGGAGCAGATGCCATTTATGATCTTCACGACAGGAGTCATCACATGATCAAAGCTGGTCACTTTTGAAGATATCACCTGCTGGTGAATGATGAAGTGGTAGTGTAGAGCTTTTAGGAAATCAGGATCACCTTTGCATTGTGCAATGAAGCCTGCATGCCAGCCCGTCATGGCGGGAGCCCGGTCTGTTGTAACCGACACCAGCTTCTCTAATGGCACCTTTTTGTCCACAAAGTAGCTTTTCACCGCGTTGTAGATGTCAGTTCCCCTCGTTGTTGTCTTCAGGGGCAGAAGTGTCAGCAGTTCTTCTTTTGTAGAGAAATCATTAAACACCATTCAGATGAATATCATCAGCTGAGCTGTGCTGGTGCTGTCAACCGACTCGTCACACTGGATGCTAAACCACCTGCACGTAGTGAGATCTTGGTCCAGTTGCTCAGTTAAGTTCTCGGACATAGATGATATTCTTCTAGCCATCGTACTTGCTCCAAGTTGGACATTGGAGAGGGCAGAGATGACATCGGGACCATGCTTCTCATCTTTGAAGACTGTGTTTGCAACAATCATCATAGCTTCTTTAAAAACCTCCCCATCCGAAAAGGCTTTCTTGCTCTTTATCAAAAAGTTTGCAGC